GAGTGAGTAAGTATTGTATAATAATAAGTGAGTAAGTATTTTATAATAAGTGAGTGAGTAAGTATTGTATAATAATAAGTGAGTGAGTAAGTATTGTATAATAATAAGTGAGTGAGTAAGTATTGTATAATAATAAGTGAGTGAGTAAGTATTGTATAATAATAAGAGAGTGAGTAAGTATTGTATAATAATAACTGAGTGAGTAAGTATTTTATAATAATAAGTCAGTAAGTATTGTAAATGATAAGAGATTGAGTAAGTATTGTATAATAATAAGTGAGTGAGTCAGTAAGTATTGTATAATAATAACTGAGTGAGTAGGTATTGTATAATAATAAGTGAATGAGTAAGTATTTTATAATAATAAGTGAGTAAGTATTGTAAATGATAAGAGAGTGAGTAAGTATTGTATAATAATAAGTGAGTGAGTAGGTATTGTATAATAATAAGTGAGTGAGTAAGTATTGTATAATAATAAGAGAGTGAGTAGGTATTGTATAATGATAAGTGAGTGAGTAGGTATTGTATAATAATAAGAGAGTGAGTAAGTATTGTATAATAATAAGAGAGTGAGTAGGTATTTTATAATAATAAGTGAGTGAGTAAGTATTGTAAAATAATAAGTGAGTGAGTAAGTATTGTATAATAATAAGTGAGTAAGTATTTTATAATAATAAGTGAGTGAGTAAGTATTGTATAATAATAAGTGAGTAAGTATTTTATAATAATAAGTGAGTGAGTAAGCATTGTATAATAATAAGAGAGTGGGTAAGCATTGTATAATAATAAGAGAGTGAGTAGGTATTGTATAATAATAAGAGAGTGAGTAGGTATTGTATAATAATAAGTCAGTAAGTATTGTATGATAATAAGAGAGTGAGTAGGTATTGTATAATAATAAGAGAGTGAGTAGGTATTGTATAATAATAAGTCAGTAAGTATTGTATAATGATAAGAGAGTGAGTAGGTATTGTATAATAATAAGTGAGTGAGTAGGTATTGTATAATAATAAGTGAGTGAGTAGGTATTGTAAAATAATAAGTGAGTTAGTAGGTATTTTATAATAATAAGTGAGTGAGTAAGTATTGTAAAATAATAAGTGAGTTAGTAGGTATTGTATAATAATAAGTGAGTGAGTAAGTATTGTAAAATAATACGTGAGTTAGTAGGTATTGTATAATAATAAGAGAGTGAGTAAGTATTGTATAATAAAGTAAGTAAGAATTAGGACTGACCTCTGTTGAATATTAAGAAGTTGTTTACTAGGATGGTCGATATCTTCAGTTGATGTTTGTTGTTGTAGTAACGGAGACGAATGTAAATTATGTTTTGATTTTTCACTACCTTCAATTCCTCGCTGAGCCTAAAATAAAATTATCAATTCTATAATTATAATAGATATTTGAAGGATATTTTGAAGTGTATAGTGATAAATCACAGTACAAGCACCAATAACAGAATACATTGTACCATCTTACTTCTCTGTACATCAACTTATATTGGTTTATATGTACAAATTAAACAATTATCATCTGATCAATCACGTAAAACGAAACCCAAAATAATAAAGTACAAAAAGTAAAAACACTGTAATATCTTAAAGATATGAGAACAATATTTGACTCACCTCTAATAAATGAATAACTTAAAGATATGAGATCAGTATTTGACTCACCTCTAATAAATGAATAACTTAAAGGTATGAGAACAATATTTGACTCACCTCTAATAAATGAATATGTTAATGATATGAGAACAATATTTGACTCGCCTCTAATAAATGAATATCTTAAATATATGAGAACAATATTTGACTCACCTCTAATAAATGAATATGTTAATGGTATGAGAACAATATTTGACTCACTTCTAATAAATGAATATGTTAATGGTATGAGAACAATATTTGACTCGCCTCTAATAAATGAATATCTTAAAGATATGAGAACAATATTTGACTCACCTCTAATAAATGAATAACTTAAAGATATGAGATCAGTATTTGACTCACCTCTAATAAATGAATAACTTAAAGGTATGAGAACAATATTTGACTCGCCTCTAATAAATGAATATGTTAATGATATGAGAACAATATTTGACTCACCTCTAATAAATGAATATGTTAATGGTATGAGAACAATATTTGACTCACCTCTAATAAATGAATATGTTAATGGTATGAGAACAATATTTGACTCACCTCTAATAAATGAATATGTTAATGGTATGAGAACAATATTTGTCTCGCCTCTAATAAATGAATATCTTAAAGATATGAGAACAATATTTGACTCACCTCTAATAAATGAATAACTTAAAGATATGAGATCAGTATTTGACTCACCTCTAATAAATGAATAACTTAAATATATGAGAACAATATTTGACTCACCTGTAATAAATGAATATGTTAAAGATATGAGAACAATATTTGACTCACCTCTAATAAATGAATATCTTAAAGGTATGAGAACAATATTTGACTCACCTCTAATAAATGAATATCTTAAAGATATGAGAACAATATTTGACTCACCTCTAATAAATGAATATCTTAAATATATGAGAACAATATTTGACTCACCTCTAATAAATGAATATCTTAAAGGTATGAGAACAATATTTGACTCACCTCTAATAAATGAATATTTTAAAGATATGAGAACAATATTTGACTCACCTCTAATAAATGAGATAAATAACGAGGTCGAATTAATAAGGATATAAAGGTTTGGGTCATATATACCATAGACGTCTAAAATTATAACATAAAATATATCAACATTAACATATAACATATAGAATTATATCAACACAGATCAACAAGGCTAACCGAAGACTCATTCTAAATCTGCCAACATCATGGCTATCCCCCCAAAATAATCTAGTACCCTAGGTTAGTGAGAGAGCATGTATCTTCAACTTCAACACTTCTGAACTGTAAAATTACTGAAGGCTTACTAAGTAAAACAATAATAATCTAAATTCCTATATTACTAGAGTTTTTCTTAATAGAATAGTAATATTGCCCTCGTCTTTAACACTAAACCTAGTTAAACTGTTAAACCTCACAGATTTTCAGTCTTCAAAGCGGTTCCCCTTAAAAAAAAAAAAGGGACTCACCAGAAGTTTCATCAAAACCTCAGGAAGATTAAACCTCCATTCTCGAATAAAAAACGAGAGTTGATAAATAAAACTACAGGTCACTTCAGCTTCTTGTAAACTTTGATCATAAAGAGTTATACATCCTGTTTCTAATGACTACAAAATATATTATTGTTTTCAAATTATATAAATTATTAACTCCTAGCATTCTAGGATTGAGGCCACGAACTATTAGTTGGTCATCAACATACTGAGCTGTTAAAGTACTGTGGAATCTATAACGTGTTCTGTAGCACACAGGTTCACAGTATCTCC